CTCTGCTCTAATTAGAAGCTGTTCTGTCACAGACGCTGACGAAGGAGGACAACGTCTGTCCTCAACCTGACTCCGCCTCGATTGACCAAATATTCCAACCGATCAGAAGGATCCATCAGAGAAAGTCTTTGTCTCCTTAGAACCTCGATTCCCTGTCAGACGAACTCTACCGGACTGACAGGTCCGGTAGAGTCCTTCTGACAGTGCTTGAGTGCTTGTGAGGCCCGACAGGATTACCCGTGGGGGTGCCAGAGTCCATCTGCGCTTCCCTTTCATATTGGACTGTCAAACAAACCAGATCCTTTGAAAAACCTGTTCCCTGAAGGAACATTTTTAGGGTTTTAGAGTTCACTTACGCAGTCACACTTCCCTAAATGAACCAAACATTTCATTCTAGGTAAATGAAATAAAGTTTGATTGAATCAGACTTAAAATGTCACAGGGAGACGTTGGAGTAGGGTATAAGATCCTTGCCTAATCTGATCAATGGAAGAGATGGTTAGCACTTCCTTTGAACCTCCTTCTCTACTTTATAATTAAAGTATTTGAGGTTTTCAGATGCTAATCAATTGCTCCCTGTTGAAAACACCCTGTTGGCATGGATACACAGATGACATCACTGGAAAAAGGAAGTCAAAGTCCTTCCAGATGCATAGCATCCAAAACCAGAAAAATAATGACAATGAACAAAAGTCTACAAACATAATAACAAAAGCGAGCCGCTCCAGCATGCTGCCACCAGGAGCGGTGCTGTCCCAGAACCTCCACCCGTCCCAGAACCTCCACCCGACCCGGTGAGCCTGACCCTCTGCGGTGCGTTGCAGGTTTCTCGTCCCGAGTCGCCGCCAGGCAGGATCGACGTTTTTGACCTGCTGTCTGACGTAAACGCCGGCCGTCGGCTCCGCTCTGAACAAGTCGGAAAACTTTTCATCCGAATCAAGCCGCGGATGGAGCATGCGGCGCGGCGACCCAATCCGCCCCACTCTGATTCTTTACCTGTCTGCTGAGCTCCCAGCTGGGCCTCCGTGCTGATTTATTAGCCTGAGATTACAACCAGATATTAAAAAAAACAAAAAAACATAATTATGGTTTTATTCTAGGGGAGAAACAGTTGGAGAGCAAAGCAGCGAAGATTTAATCAGTGCACAAATTATAAGCGTTGCATGTAGCATGAATGCTAAAATGAGACAAATGAACACAAACACAATTATCATTAGGACGCAATTATCTCCACTGATTCTCCAGCTTATCGTGATTATCAGTGATTTACGGAGCAAATATCCTAATTGCACTTTGAATATCTTGCATCAACATTCCACCTGCGGATCACTGGAACAAATGAAATGTTCAACTATTTATTTCTCTGTTAGTGGAGGAGGGTTATTAGACTGGAATGTGATGGGATGTTCGCTCATCTCTTAGCAGATAATCGCTTTTATTTGGTGACAAAAAAAAAAAACCAACAAACAATGCAGCAGATTTTTACATGGACAGACATGAACATGTCGATGTTTCGGCCGCAGGGTCTTCCCAGCATCGTGGTTCAGTCGGCCAGCGTCGAAGAGGACATGTGCAAACATCAGCAGCCGGTGAGTCAGACAGGAAGCACTTCCTGGATTCCTACATTCCATAGATGGTTTATGGAAATTCTTATGGCGTTTTATTAGACTTTATCTGTCTTACCAGTGAAATTTCATTTCACAGGACTTTTGTTTTTCTGTGTTAGAGCATTTACAGAAAACATTTGTTCCCCTTTGGAGTTAGTTTGTCCTTGTTGTGTCTCTTTTACGGTTGAGATAAGCTGAGTAAAAAATAACAAGCGCTTTTTCAAATTATTATTTCCATTAGTCATCAAGTGTCTGTGATAATTGGCAGGGAACTTTGTACAACTCTGGTGGATTATTTTAATATGTGAGGCTTTTCAAGCTTAAAGCCGCAGTACGCAACTTTTATTTATATATTTCAGTTTGTTTCCTGCTTACATTTGTTAAAACTGTCATCATCAAATGATATGCGACAACAATCGAGCTCCTCTTTGTGGGCTTACTGCAGAAGCACACCGCTCGGTCGGAAACAACCAATCGGAGCCTGGAGGAGGGTCTTGTTGCTGTCAATCAGGCTTGCGTACGTGCAGCTCACACCCTCCCTCTCACGCTAGCTCTCCTGCCATTAATGCTCAGGCTAGTTAGGATAGTCTTTTTTCTGAAACGCTTTCAGTTTTTGGCCAGGAGTAAAACTTCCTAATAGTTCCATTTTTGTTTCTACAGAATATTTGGTAACACTTTATTCGTCGTGTCGGTGCGTAAGACTGAGTCCTTTAGAGGTTGTTGTTCTGTGACTTCTTTGTCTCGTTGATTGGTTCTTGGAGAAGACTTCAAGGTCGAGACAGAGTTCAGCCATCGCCAAAGGGAGGGGGGAGTGTTAACCTGGCCGTCAGGGAAGAGAGGTCCAAGTCTCGACCAATGGTGGACAGTTTTGAGTTTTAAGTGCAACAAAATTTGATAGATGCCTGATTTTCAAGTGTACATTACACTGTGCCTGAAACGATCATGTGGTGTTTTCATTCAGGTTCCCGCTGAGGAAACGCCTCCCGCTGATCTCCAAACAGATGTCCCCAGATCAGCCCCCCTCCCTCCCCCAATCATCCCAAAGAGCGACGACTTCACCTCCGGTTCAGCTAGCGACACGTCCGGCGGGTACATGTTGTCCAACATGTCCGCCTCCAGGCTTTCGGACGTCTACACGCTGAGCTGGGACCTGCCCAGTTTGTTATCAGAGGAAGTGGAGGACGACGAGGCGGGGGAGGAGTTCTCGCCTGAAAAGTTGGGTTTAACCAAAGAGCCGGCCGCCTCGAGTACAGACCGAACTCAGCCAGAGTCAGATCTCTGTGAACAAGAGACAAATCCGTCACTGTCCACTTATTCAAAGAGTCTAGAAGAAGCTGCTGCAAGTACAGAAACACAAACAGAAAGCCAGGCTGCACAAAACCAAGTTCCAACTACTGATACTGCTGAACTAGAGCAATCAAACGGTTCAGAGAATCACACCGATTCCCTGGGAGAACGACACGACCAACAGGAAGAATCACAGCAAACGGATCCTTCAACAAAACATCCAGACATCGTTGCTACAAATGAGGATAACCACGATCAGTTACTCATGAGTGAAACGCAAGCAGATGAGAGTCTGGTAGAATCTATTGCTACACAGCACCAGGAACAAGAGCAGGCAGCTTCTGACGGTGTTCGAGATCCAGCTCCAGATGTAAACCAGACCCCTGCTGCTCAACCTACGGAAGACTCTAACCCTAAAGATTCACCCCAACAAGAATTACTGCCTGAACCCTCCGGTACAAACAGCACCCTCATTCAACCCCCAGACACAGCGAAGGGCAGTCCAAAACCACTTTCTGAGTCTTCCACCAAAGCTGCTATCGGTGCCGCCCAACCCTCCAAGTCCAGTTCGTCCGTAGTCAACCCCTTCCAGGTTAAGAAAGTCAAGTCTTCAGAACTCAAGTCTTTCCAGCAGATTGTGGGCGAAGAAGGAGGTAAATCGGCACAGATGGGGCAAGGAGGCAGCCGAGGGGCGGGACTCAACCTCTCTGTGCCGGCAGAGAGCCTGGAAAGCATCTCGGACTTAGAAGAGGGAGACGAAGTCGCTTCGGATGTTCTTCCTGACTGGTTGAAGGAAGGGGAGTTTGTCTCTGTGGGGACCAATAAGAGTGGGACAGTGCGGTACGTTGGGCCCACGGATTTTGCCAAGGGGATCTGGGTCGGAGTTGAACTGGAGGTCCCTGCAGGTGAGAAACACGACTCTCGTTATTGTTCGGATTTTTCTCATCACCCCTTACGGATCTCTGTTGCTCCGTCTGCAGGAAAGAACGACGGCTCTGTGGGCGGGAAGCACTACTTTCACTGTAACCCGGGCTACGGAGTGCTTGTGAGGCCCGACAGGATTACCCGTGGGGGTGCCAAACGCCGGCGCCAGCAGCAGAAGCGTCGTAGTGCCAACCTGTCCGGGTCCAGTCCAAACTTGGCAGCTCTTACTGCCCTGGCGAAAGGTGAGACGGGATCGGCCGGCCGCAGCAGAGGGGAGAACCGTAAATCATGGAACACTTGAAAAGTGGCGTATGTGTGGAAGTTTAGTCTAGGATTCAGTATCTGGCCCTTCACTGTGAGAGCTGCTGGTGTCGCTTCACTGACCACTACATCAAATATTGAATGTTTTTAAGTAGAGATCTGCAGAAGAGTATTTATTTTAGAGACATTGAAAACCACAGAAGCACATTCTGCAGTGTTGCGCAGACGTCCAGCAGCCTTCCAAAGCCTACATGACTCATGGCTCGGCTGTTTAGACGCTTCATATAAAAAAGGTTTCCTGCGTTAACAAGGACGGAAGATGAGAACTGTCGAACAACTTCTCTGAATTTTTAATACTGTGGAATGAGCTCTCACTAATTCCAACTTGAATGCAATTTTTTATTTTTTTTAATATATACTTCCTTTGCTTGTCTTTTCTTTTATCATTATTACACTGTTTGCAGATGATATTTGAGTGAGAATGTGAGTGGACTACTGGCCCTTAACTACTGCTCAACACAAGTGCCTTGATCATGTCCAGCCAAAACGTTTCCCGCTGGAACTCTGAGAAGTGTTGATCAATGAGATCGATCTGGTTCTTAAATTAATGTTTCTACTTTTACACAAACTTGCACTCTTGATTGCTATAGTAACAATATCTACTCTAAATGGGTTGTCTTCCTGCTGAGCATGTGTGTTGATTGTTTTAGGGATTTTTTTGTGTGTGTAAAAAATATTTGGAGGGAATATAATTAAGAGTAATTTCTGATTCATAGTTTTTTTTCCATAGATGTATACACACACATACTTGCATTTAGGCAGATCAATTTGCTTTGGATGCTTATTTATTTGAAAATAAAGACAAGATATTGATTATTTGCAGTTTCCCTTCTCTATGGAGTGGATGAAAGACAATATGTGTAATGTCATTGATATAGCTTTATTCTCTTGTACATTATATATATATATATATCATACTAAAATAAACACAAGTTAAAAAATGGACAAAGAAACTGTACAAAAAATGTTTATATACTACATCTTAATTACAGAACAGTCTACTGTCCAAAAAAGGCACTAAATTCTGAAATGGGCAATACAGTAATTTTGAACTTAACTATATTTGAGATTGATACAACAGCATTCAGTCCTCTGTTCCTAAGTGATAATGGGGTGAACCAGGTGGCATTTCACTTGAAGATATTGACCAACATGTAGCCACACCGCAAGAGGACGCCTCCGTTCTGGTAAGCGTCCACACACACACACACACACACACAAACCAGTAGTTTGACAGATCATGGCATGTCAAAGTTAAAGGCGGACATCTGAATATGAGTTATTGAGAGAAAAATTGCACTCTGCAGCGTTCCCCCCTTCATTAACCTGAACCGATCTGGTTAGTGTGTAGAAACACTGACATCCATCACAGATGGGAAACGATGTATGACGTGCTAATGCTACACCAGGCTTACCATGTGTGTGTCTAACTGTATTGTAGTACACTGATGGAGGTTACAGTTCAAGCTTACTCATCAATACGTTTCATAAGGTGCATCTTTGTTGGCCTTTTCATAAAAATGTTGCTCAGTTGGACAATGGAGAACAGCCAAATGCTAAAACGATAATAGAAAAATAAGTTTGGTAAAATGAAAAAGCATTAATTTAACTATAAAGCATGTTTCATTTCAAAGCATATCATTCGTCTTTGTACATTACCGTAAAAAAAAAAAAAAAGAGCATAAATACATACTTTTTTTCTTTAAACCACTTCCTTTAAAAACCAGTTTTGTCTTTTTTAGCTTCTTACAAGCAGAAGCTGTTGATTAGCTTTTCTAGACCAGAACCCGGCATGGGGAGTTATGAGCATGAAAAAAAAAAAACTAACTAAAGTTAAACACTTTCAGTGTTGTAACATGTAACCTGGTTCATCACAAACATCAAATCATTTTAGATATGAAGAATCACAAGATATGTTTTCTTGCCATGAGGTTTTTTTTTCCAGTTCTCCAAAAACCACTGGACAGTCTTGCATGTCTTTGCCTTTTCAACTCATCTGGTGGCCTAAAAATTTTATTTACTTTTTTTTTGGTAAAAAAAAAAACAAAAACAAAACATGAAGGTAGAATAGTGGCATAAAGACGGGGGAAACGCACAGTTGGCCTGACTTTGTCCAGAAACATCTTCTCATTTTGCATTTTGAATCTTGAATGAGCTCAAGGCAAACAGACAAGAGCATCTGCATAGCCTCTCCTGAACCTATAGGGGGCCCCCAAGAGCAGTGGAAGTTTCACAGAGTTGACATTTTTTTCCATACAGAAAGTATTAGCTGTATGATTATACAGCTAATTTTATACAAAAATAAACATGATTTTTAGATCACAAACATATCCAAACCAGGACAGACTAACAGGAAACACTGAGTTTTTAAATCTTTTGATGTTTGATCTAGCCTAGCCTAGCATAGCCTCTCCTTTCTCATGATCTCTTAACTGTATATCTGAATTCAGTGCTTGTGTAGAAACTAAAGGAATGCCATCAACCACTCTTAAGTTAACAGTTTAACACCTATAATTGTCAACTGGCCTAGCTACCTCAGCAGATAGCCCAACTAATTACCCAGCTAATGTTGGGTTGTTAGACTTGTTTAAATCTAAAGAGCAAAACAGCAAAAAGCAAGAATCCTCTGAAAAGGAAATATTTTAAATAAGAACTAAATTTAGTTTTAGTTGAGTTTGTATATTTTTACTGAGTATTATGTATCAAAATCAAAAATGTTAAACATTAGAAAATATTGTTAGCAGCTGTATGTGCTTCTCTGTATTGAATAAAAGCAATTAGCACATCTTTACAAGTTAATTAAAATGTTGTATATGCCATCATACGGTGGAGTCCCACATGGTTATAGTTTGAGAAGTTTTGATGCATCAGAAACGCAGGCTACTTAAAGCTGTTGTCAGGAATACTGAGCGTCTTTTTTTTCCTGAAAAATATTCCATCCTCCTCTTCTCCAGTATTAAAGTCTGAGAACAAGACAAATGCAAAAACAAGAGTAGCAGCGGTTACCAAGTGGTTTTAGTTTAGAGCCCATTACAGGCTTAGATCTGCTGCTTCAACTATTCCAACACTGGATCAAATGTCACCATTAAGACATTATCTTGTGTTTTCTTTAGCGTTGCAGCTCATGGGAGCCGGTGGATGCCCCCAACCTGCCCCCGCAGGCCCTTCCTGCCCCCGCAGCCCCTTCCTGCCCCCACAAGAGGATTTCGAATGAATTTAAAACACACTGAACAAAAATCAAAACGCCCCATGTCAAATATTGTTGCCCTGTGCAGTTAACTGTAAATGAGCATTATCTGACATTTTATTGCACAAACATAATATTTTCTCCTGATTTGTGTAGAATTTTTGCTCCCAACTTGCCGTCAGTGAGCATTACTCCCAGTGCCCGGGTGGAGCATGTCCAACGGGTAAATACAGGAAAAACCAAAGGAGAGAGTTGGTAACCAACACAACTAGAATAAGGGAGCAATTTAGGGTTACATTTGCTTAACTTATTACCCGATTCCTGGGTCCAGCTTTACATACATTCCATAGTTATGCTGTATTCCAGTTACCTCAGACGTAACCGAGGCGGTTTTGGCGTCAGACCAGAGTCAAAAATAAATGTCTCAGAATTTCAACATGGTGACACGTTCTTACAAACATTATGTTTTACTTTCCCTAAGCAAACAGAGTTTTTTATTTGTTCAGGTCATAGTCACAGGCGCCACATGTAGCAGCAATACTTAAATTCAAAGTCAACCTTATAAGTCGTAACTTTGGGTAGTTGGAGTTGCTCCCAGTTTCCAACAGATGGAGTTGACCAACTCATCTGAACCCCAAGATGGAGCTGTGGTGCAGTGAACGATGCAGGCCAAACCCTAGTGTAGACTCAAACCATCATGGAAACTTTTGCACCACTTCCTGTCCTTTGGACAACCCAACCATTTATCAACACTAAGAGCAATTTTTGGACAATGCTAGGCTAGCGGTTTTCCCCGACTTCTTGCCACAATGCAATACATCTGCAGTAGAGGAAGCCAGGCTCATCGACACCCAGCACTGGGTTTTGGAGAACTTTCATTGAGGATAACAAGAAAACCAAGACACTTGAAGTGACTGATTCCCTTCAACGCTTCCCTTTGAGGTTATTTATAGGTGAAACAGAAAAAAATAATTAAATAAACAGAAGTTTGTAGAGTTCTTTCATATTTATCTCCAGTGTGGATTCAGTCTACTTTAATATCTGCTGTATAAAAACAAAAAACAAAGCACATAGCTTACATTATTATCATTATTATAAAGAGGCAGCGTCACAGAAGTAGTAAATAGCTTAGGGGTATAATATAAGTGCCTGCCAATACCTACCAGTCCAGACACAGGCCTGCTGTAGTGTTGAGCCTCCTGCAGCCGGAGAGGCTTCACTGAACACTGAGGAGGAATCCAAACCAAAGGAGTTAGAATCCCTTTGGGTTCACTCAGCACAGAGCCACTTCCTTTGGCATGGATGGCACAGAAAACAAAGCAACTGTTGCCTTACTGGACATCTTAGGGAGGTTGACTCATCCTCAACGACTGAGAGGAGTTTAACATGAGATTACAAATAAAAACATTTAAAATTAAATCCCTGCTGCTGCAGCTGCTGTTGGGTGGAAACTTGAACTGTGCAGATTTTGTTTTTGTGCGCTTTGGAACGATGGGATGTGAACATCCAGCAGTGGGGAGGTAAGGCTACTTCTGAACAGACATTTTGCAAAGTTGGTTTGGCGTCAATCGAATGTAGCAGCGCGACTGCGAGGGAAAGGAAAGCAGGACTTCGGTAGAGCGTCGACGGCGCCGAACCGCGCCGCGAGAGGAAGAGGAGGAAGCGCTCTTCATCAGCGGACGGCTCCTCTTCTGATGCTCTGCACTGCGAAGAGGTGAAGCTGAAGGTGTAGGTAGTATGTCATGAGGTGAGGGTGACCAAGAACCTTCAGAAGTCTGTTATATATACACACAGTGCGTCGTTTTCTTTTTTTTTTTTTTTTTGCTTTTCTTTCTGAGGTTGAGGTGAGACTGAGGATCGGCTCAGACGACCAGGCTGCTGAGGGAAGGAAGAGGAGAGAAAAACTGAAGAGGTATCCTGTTTTGGGGAAGGAGAGGAGATCCTGGGAGACCCGGTCCCAGAGAGGAGCCACCGTTAGGCGGGAGGTTCACAACTGGCTGCTGCTTCTGTCACACAGCCGACAGTAGCAATGTCCGCCAGCTGGGTCAGTATAGTGAGTTACATAGGGTGAGGAGGAGAGTTGGGGGGAATCACTGTTTTACATGGAAGTTCTGGGAGAGGAGCGGAGACGATTTTACTAAGTCGAATTATTTTGGTCTTTTTTTTTTTTTTTTCTTTTCGTGTTTTGAAACGCTCCCCGTCGTCCCCCGTCTCGACTGGGCTTTGTTCCCTCGCTCCGTCCCGGTTCCTGAGTGCTTCATTCATCCTCCAGGGACTCGGTCTTGATGTCGTTGGGCACGCCTCCGGTTCTGGACAGCGCCAAGATGGTGTGGTTGACGGCGGCCATCTCCACGGCTAGAGAGATGGGGTCCTGATGCTCGTTGTGAGCCGCGCTGTCGTCCTAACGGGGGAAAATTAAAACAAGACGTCGGATGATCAGCTCTTCATAAGCTGCAGCACTTTATCAGTTTCTACAGCTTGTCACATAATAATGCATTTTTTTGGAATTTAAGTTGATAGAACACAAATCAGCATATTTCTGAGGTAGAAGGAAAATATACATTGTGTATTAAATGTTCCTTTTAAATAATTTGAAAAATATTGCAAAGTATTTTCAGCTGAAATCTGAAAAAAATTCATCCCATGTCTCAAACTGAGTCAGTAGAACAGCTGTGTTTATTCCCATAATCCACTTGTGTGCTATAATATAATCAGGTGATTTGTGCAGATAATCAGTGGTACGAGGTTTTATTTAGGGATATCAGATTGAATGATAAATTAATAGTGACATTAATCAGAGTCACTTTGGGTGAACTTTTCCTAAATTTGTTTGGAACGGGGTTATGCTTCCTCATAGGGGGTTTAGTTAAAGCTTAAATAAGCAAACAGCAAGTTTGTTTGTTTTTTTACCCTTTTTCTTTTTCAAAACAGTCTTCAAACCTCAAACTGCACACTATTACAACCCTGACTTGATTAGAGCATTTTAGCCCCATTTTATTCAAAATTTGACCTTAGAAATCAGTGGATTTTATGTACATTTCTCTTTGAGCCAATCAGGTTTCAGCATTCGCCCTCTCCTCCCCCATCATGAGGACACCAGTGACTCCAGCCCTCGGTTACCTGTGTAGGTGAGGTGGGCTCCAGGCGGTAAAGGCCAAACGGTCGGCTGAGAGGTCTCTTGTCGAAGTAGGGCAGGTCGCAGGCCTGAGAGGGGGAACAGACAGAAACGGCTCACTGCCTTACTTCCATTTGTTCCAACGACAGGAAGGCTTGTTAATGAGGGCAATGCATCAGAGTGAAGCAAGTGTGCTTTTTCTATATTTAGTGAAAGCTGACTACAGAGTTTCGCGAGGTAAGCAGCAGTTGAAACGCCGCAGCTCGTCTTTTTATGTTCACGTTTTATGCCAAGCACACAGGCGGCTGCTTAGTTCTGTGTGTGTGTGTGTGTGTGTGTGTGTGTGTGTGTGTGTGTGTGTGTGTGTGTGTGTGCGCCACTCTACCTGCTCTGCAAAGTCATTCCCATCGATGTCGTCGCTGTTGGAGTGTCCACCTGGACTCTGCACGTCTATCCCATGACTCTCCAGGATTGTTGCTTCTTGGAGGAAGAGGATGGATTATCAGTTTGATGGTGAACATTCAGTTCATCAAATATGAAATGTTTCGTTCGTTCGAACGCAACGTGCTCTGCCAGCAAGTGGCGCCCTCGTTACCAATATTAGCTCGTCTCTTGATCTCCTTGCGCCGGTTAGCGAACCAGTTGTAGACTTTCAGGGAGGTCACCCTCTCCAGATCAGACAGCTTCTTCCCTGTGGAGAAAACACACAAAGCAGTCTTGCTTCAACACGTCCCTTAATTAATGGAAATATTTTTCAGAATCTTTAGATTCACAGAAATGTCGCTGGCGGCATTTGAGATTCCTTCAGTCGTGATTTCTGATGCTCTGAAGTCTGAAAACAAAACCCTGCAGTATATTTTACACCCGTTACCTGTGGAGATGGCGACATTCCTTGGCACTACAGGTAGAGACAGACGTTCACACAGTAAAAATCAAACCACTTCAAGCTGAAACATTGAGAAATAATCTCCAATTGATGCATGTTAAGGAACAATTCACTTAGAAACGAGCAAAGGAAGTAAAGCATTTTACGTTGAACTGCACTTCAAGTAGAACATAGTTTCTATATGTTTATGATTCGCCATGTTTTAGCCACTTTTTAAGACCATTATGAATAGAATTTAGGATCTGCATTGTGACAAATGTAAAAAAACAAAAAATACAACTAAAGTTTTCTGGTTGGCAACAGAAGTGAGCCAATGGCGAAGATGAACGTCATCCAGCCAACCAGTGATGAATTTGCTCTTATGATGGATATTACCAAAAAAGAAAAAAAGCTAGTATGCTAGCTAGCACCTAGCTTCTGCTACCTGCTAATTGCCTCAAGTTACAGAATGCAGTGAAGACATTTGTATAACACAAACTTTGAGTGAAGGCCTGTGAGAAAACTAAACAGATTAAATAGTCCTTATATGACAAAACTTGTGATTAACATATTTAAGGGTAAATTACTTTTACTTCTGATTGAATTTAAGACCTTTTAAGGATGTGAAGATGTGCCCTGTTTTCAGTCCACTGTTAACCTTTCAAAATAAAAGGAAATAGTAAAGTGCTAGCATAACTTTGCAGGTTAAGATAAACCACACAGGACAAACGACACCTCCAAGGCACAGCCAAAAAAAGAATATGAATTATGTGAAATAAAAGTTAATTTATTCTTTAGTGAGGAGTTGTCAGTGTAGCTTACCTGGTTTCTGAATAACAGCATTACAGGCGTTGGCTATCTCCTCTCTTTTGGCTTCATCTGGGTACTGGTTGTCATTGAAGTAGCTGGAAATAATAATCAAACAGATTCATTTAATTTCACAACAACAAAGGACAATATCAACAATATTATTGGGCTGATGTTTGATATTGCAGACACTGGAAGTCATTTCATTGTCCAGACTGCCTTTTACTCCTGGAGGAAATAACTGCGGCGTTATGAAGCCGTCTCCTCCACCCTCACCTCTCCATCACAGCCAGGCACTCCTTCCTCCAGGTGAAGCGGCTTCCCCGACGCAACCGGAAGGTTCCGGGGGCGGTGGCGAGGGGCGGCGGGGTTTGCCTCCACTCCATCTCCTCCAGAGGCAGCGGCGCTGGCCGCATGTTCAGAGTGGCACCTGGAGCGGCAGCAGAACCGGCGATCGGTTACAACGGAACGCGCCTCACGGAGAGCGAAGCCGCCCGTCTGGGCGCAGGTGTGTTCGTGGTCAGGAGACGCAAACTGAAATACAGTGGTTTGGGTAACCAGAGCGGTAAACGGCGAGCACATGTTCTCCCACGGGAAAGAACCAGAACTGCAGAGCCACTAACAGAAACAGTGCGTTGCTATATCAGTAACAGAGACACACTTTTATTCCTCGGTAAGAAATAAAAGAGCATCAATACAGGTCAGAATTATTCAAGTTAATATTCTCTGTTGCTGGAGCTTCCTCAAGCATTCAGCATCTGGAAGCGAGTCAGACATCATCAATGCAGATAAAACACATGCATAGCATGAGAAGCTGTGCTTCCAGTGGACATAAAATTTTGCAATTTGAAATTATGAAAAATTTATATGGAAATACCATTTTTGAAAAAAGTGAATTTTTCTGATAAAAAGTTTTTGTGCTTGGACGAGGTGTTATTTTTCCAGCTGCATCGAACTTTGTATATTTTGCAAAACCGCAATGAAACACCGTTTTCACATCACACCACTTCATCTACCTTCATAGATTATGTAAACATGCATAGCCAATTCCAGAACTGATCATTTTGATTTATTGAATATGGAGCTCTTATGTAAAAACTGCCAACAATTTCCCAAAAATGCTGCATATGCAGCCACTCCCAAGTATTTTTGTTTCCATTAAATATTTTGAAATGATATTCTATAGTTTATCCTAAACTGCAGCCATCATTGTATCCCCTCATGTTCTCATTGGTACTTGTTTTTGTAAATATTTTGATCTTAACATGTATGGGTTGTTTTTTCTCCAAAACTGTAAAAATGTGTTCAGGTGCTAACATTTAAGAAGTCTCATCTTATAGAGGTGAGAGCAGCATGCATCTCTGCATTGCTGACTCCTCCAGCTCATCTTATTACACACTGTAATGAGAAACTGCATCCACTCCGGAGACTAAGCTTTCCACGCTAATGCTTCCTGAGAAAAGCCTGGAAGGAACTACTGAGAAGAGCTCCACTTCCACCATGACGTCACATTTCCTCAACTAAAAATCTGAAAATTCTTTTGAGCCCTCTGTGTTACCTGGCGTGGTTTTCTCCAGGATGTACCAGCGGTAGAAAGCCCTCTTCTTCTGCTCGCTCAGGTCGGAGCCGTGCTGCAGCAGCCAATGGGAGATCCTGCTCTGGCTGATGCCTGGAAAGCAAAAGGCATCCGTGTGTCCAATCAGAGCGCCGGAACAACGTGTGGATAATTAGAAAGCGGAGACCCAAGGGGCATAGAGGAGAAGATGAGTGAGGGTGAAGTGTTTTTCTCCCATCTTGGCTTTGATTTCACCTCCTCCTCCAATCACAGCTGGCAATCACAGAAATGCACCTCCACGTCTTCGGTAATTTACAAACAATGCCTCTTATTTAGCTTCCACGTCTGATTCTGCTATTGGTTTAACTATATATGAAAGCTATATGAGACATAGATGGGAGTTTTAGATGAGGCTTTAGAGTAATACGTGATGGATGAGACCATTTTCCTTCAGGCAAAGTTAAAGAATGCATTTTCTTCCCTTTGGTTGATAACATCTTTGTTCATATTTGCTTTTTAGTTGTTTTTTTTTAACTAATCAAAACAATTATTACTGGGACTTTTGCTGAAGAAATTAAACAAAAACGATTCTACAAAATAAAATAAAAAACAACATTCATTGTACCTGTACTTAATGTACAGGAGCACCGATTGGAGAGCTTTAAAAAGATTTTCTTTTAGTCGGAAATGTTGCATGAAAGTTGCTGAGTTGGTAGCAGAGTGGATTCATGTGCTACTGACCGGTCACTTGAGCCACGACAGCCTGAGAAATCCTCCGGTTACCCAGGAAAGCTTTGATCTCCTCTTTGACCAGACTGCTGTCCCTTCTGCAAACAGAAACACAGCAACACTATTAAAAAGTAGGCCAGGAAACAAGTCGCAGGAACGGAAAACGGCAACAGCAGCCTAAGGTGGAATAAATGTCTGAAACTTATGCAAAATAAAAGCGGTTGCTTTTGCACTTTTAAGGTTTAAAGCAGAGTTTGGTTCTAAAACAACATCCTGAGATTCGATCAGCTCCAGAGCTCGGTTCAATCCATCATCTGAGCAGAGAGAGCAAGAAACCAACATCTGTTGCAGTCAATCGGCATGGCAACCAGAGCATTAATCAGGTAAGCAACCAAGGCAACACTGGAGGAGCTGCAGAAATGAAAGAATCTGAATGACAGAACAGTTTTGTTTTCACACCTGTTAGTCCATTAGTCTGGGTTTGATCGAGGTTCAAAATTGCAACATTTTTATATTTTCATACGCTGTCAAACGAACCAAACACTGAAAAACCTGTTCCCCTCCTGGCCTGTGGTGGCGCTGCACAAAGAACCACTGAAGGAAACAACATGAAAATCTTTGAAGACGACACTGAACTCAAACTCCTGAAATGTAAACGGCGTCAGATTTCAGCAGTTGTAGGATTTCTGTTTTCTTTGGTAAGAGAGCCAGATACACTAGCGATGTGCTAGTGTGTTAGTTTGGTTGCATTTACCCAGAGTGCCCTGCGCTGTAGTCCGTTTCCTGCTTATGGAGCTCTCTCCAGTACCCTTGGCATTCACATATGCATTCAAGCTGCACCAAAGTTCACTTCAACCAAATAGAGACCCAGGTTTGTCGGCAGACCAGAGTTGATTATTTTTGGTCTGCCCACCATTTCTACGGTGAAACCCAGTTCAGGCTTTCAGAATGTTGGAGGTTCACCTTCCAGTCGGAGCTACAGTCAGAGCTCTAACAGAACAGCTCAGATCAAAGTCCAGACCTGAATCCAAATGACAATGAGGAACAGACGTCCACAGATCCATCCTGTCGGAGCTTGGGGTCTACAACATAAAAACACTCAAACGTGATTATAGTTTCAAAATCCTCTAAGGGTATGAATACTTTTCCCCAGTCGCCAGAGCTGTCATTCACGAGCCAATAATTAAATCCTCCCGCTTTATTCAGGCCTCCATTTTGACGGCTTTACCACGTTTTTGTTCCTCTATGCATAATGAGCGCTGCGTTCCACGGGAACACAAAGGCAGCTGCTCTATAAATGGAGACGCAATCAACGTGTTTTTAAAATGTCTTCAAGGCGACATTTCCACCGACTTAATGGGGAGGAGGGAAAAAAAATAAATAAATAACGTAAAAACATGCAGAGACTTGCAAGAGAGTGCAGTCGCCCAGTGGACCCACCCCGCCTTCTGGCATCCAGTCAGCCCCTCTACCCACTTTTCCTTCTCCATATATATTTACACATACGCAGGCATAGGACTGCCGTGGCCCCCCGAGTCGTCTCAGGGGACGGAATGGTGTTCAACGTTTGCTGCGTTCATCCACAATAACACGTAGAAAAGTTAATGTCTCCCACAGGAAGGCCCCCGCCCAGCTCCAGCAGGGATCAGTCGCAACGCAGCGCGCCCAAGAATCCTCGACCCGAGAGCGCGTCACGACTCTCGACAGCGATATACACATCCTCCACGTCAGGCTCTTGTGGCGCGGCTAAAATTAGAGCCTTGGAAAGACAAAAAAAAAAAAAGCTGCTTGTATTGACACCAGTGAATCAATGTAGCAAGAGCTGCTGTACAAGACAGAGGAGGAGGAGGAGGATGGGGTGCCAACATAAAGGCTCAACCCCTGCAGAGGAGGAAATATGCAGTTTGAAAGAGGAATGAGAAGGGCAGCAGGGTTTTGTTGACAAGTTAACCGCTACCAAAAATCACACTGGATCGGCGTCAAAGCAAGACTTGTCTTTTGAAAATTAATGTCCATTTTCTTTAGTTTTGTTTTAATTTTAAAAAGGAAGCTTTTTGTATTTAATCAGGTCAAAATGATCAAAGTAAAATCTTAAAATTAGGCCATTTGTGATTAATTTTACTTGGTGATAAGACGACAATACTGTTTTGAGATATTTAAGGGATATAAAGCTCACGGCATGATGATACAAGTTCACCTTTAAATTCTGATGAACGCTGAAAGCGGAAGACATTTTAAACATTCAGAATAAACAAAAGCAACAAAATAAAATCAATTCTAAAATCTCTGCACAAAAAATGTTTTGAACATTTTAAAAAAGGGCGATTTGAGACCAATTCACCCACCTGAAGACCAGTTTTGATAGAAATGAGAAAAAGAAAAATGGATAATGAAAATTGAACTTAAGTTTTAATTTAGCACGCAATCAATTGATTTATCGTTTACTGTGACAGTTCTACTTACAATAGAACGAGATATTTACTACAATACCAATTATTGTCGCTTTGCAGTCCGCGTCTATCCAGGAGCTTTTACTCAAAAAAAAAAAAAAAAAGCTCACTTGTCGGCACTTAAATGTGGTTTTTAATTAACTTATTAAATGTGTCTAATTCCAGCAAGCATTTTCACAGGAGAAGGTTACTATATTTTGATTTTATTGGTCTGACATGGCTACATTGGTTCCATTTTTTTCCTAATGGATACCTAGAGAATGTGCAAGATTTCTGGCTTTGATTTCTTCAAAACTCTTAAGGTTTTGTATAATTTACACATCCCTTTCCAACAACCAAAATCCAACTTTGAGCATTGAGGAGTAAATATAACAAGGCCATCTCCTGCTCTACATAATGTGCCGTCTAAAGCAGAATGAGTGATGGGACGGGTGGACCGGCGCCCAGGTCCCGATCGTACGTCTGTGTGATAATCAGGATGTAGTGTGAAGCGCTCCGAAGGAAGCAGGAAATGACTAACACGTGTACCGTGATAGATTAGGAACACTGAACCTTTCAGGCTAATGGGCCTAATTAACTCCTCGCCATGTCATATGATAAGTGGAGTTTCATGCTTTGCTCCCAGCTAGGTGCGGGGCAGAATCCTACCTTACCCAAAGCCAAACAGCTGCGTTTGTTTTATTTCTTAAATCAACTCCTCTCTGAAGCTGAAACCGCTTCAAATGCGTCCCAACTTGTTTCACTAATATTTAATCAGCGCTCGTGCTTCAAGGCTGTACTTGCACCCAGTAGAGCTTTCTCATTTGTCAAAATGTAACTACGTGACCTACATAGGCCTCGCAGGAACTACGGATGATCTGTGTGATCCGTTTTAATGATGCTTGCATATTAACCCCCCGCGCCCGCGCGGGCGGCTGCTGCTACTGGAACCGTTTCTGCTGACAGAAATCATCTCCAGAGAAGATGGATTCCACAATGCAGCCGGAGCAGCACCTCTTCATACGCCTAAATGTTCAACTCACTGCACTGGATTCACCGCAAAAGTTTACATGCTTTTTAACATGTCGTCATCTTTAACAGTTTACACTGGAAGAGTTTATATTTTTTGGCTAAAATTATTTGGCTAAAAAAAAAAAAAAACAAAAAAAAAAAAACACCAAGCAATATATACTTTGTTCTCAAATAAAAAGGTTGGATTTAAAATTAGTGGAGAGATTGTCTAACTGCAAATTCTATTGAAGTGAGCTTTAACAGGGCTGCCAATAATTTTATAAGTGGTAGTATGTCTGTCATCATCATCAAGTGGATATAATTAAAGCAAGGGAGAAGAAGAAGAAAAAAAACAGCCTCTCTGTTCCAGCATCAAGAATGGAAAGTTTTTACAAAAACTAAAGTGACTTTTTACATCTTAAATGGGGCAGTATTATGTGTTTTCCAGGCATATATATATATGACAATAATATAACCATGTCACCTTCAGTTGTTATAAAATATGACTTATAAAAAATGACTTCCTGATTTAGCGCCTTGAGATTGGGTCTCTGTCTGTCTCTATAAAAACTCCTGCTCTTTCTGAAACTCTGCTTTCTGGAAGTCATCGCAACATGACTCCCCTATTAACCCTTTAACAATGTTTTTACCATTAGCCAACATGAGCTGTTCCACCAAGGGTTTGCTAATTGCTGCTGGCTAGTCTGAAGGAGCTGAGCTGGTGCTGCTCTGTGAGGCAGAAGCTCAGAAACAGCAGCAAGAGGAGGAGCTCAGTCCTCAAAGGCAGACCTTGATCCACCTGGGAGTTTAGCACAGCTGAGTGGTTGCCATGGAGATTGAAGGAATCAAGGCACCACTGCCTGGATGTTTTTAATTATGTAAAGCTCAAAAAAGGTTTACTTTACATAATACTGCCCCTTTTAAATCAGAGGAGCAGTAAGAAGGTCTGGCAGATGTTCATTTAAGCTCTGATGACAGACAGGATGTCACTTAACATTTCTGCTTTTTTTGTTATATAATCAAGTTCTGAGGGAAGAAAGGCATGATTTCAGTCGACACTATTTAAAAAAAATAATCATATTGGGACATACAGCCATACAAAAAAGTTTGGGGACCCCCATTAATCTTAATTATTTTTATTTCTAAATATTTGGATGTTTGCAGCAGCTATCTCAGTTCGATACATCTAATAACTGATGTACACAGTGATATTTCAGTATTAAAATTAGGTTTATTGTACTAACAGAAAATGGGCAATATGCATTAAAACAAAATTTGACAGGTGCAAAAATGTGGGTACCCTTATTTAATTGATTTGAATACTCCTAACTACTTTTCACTGACTTACTGAAACACAAAATTGGTTTGGTAACCTCATTGAGTTGTTTGGTCATAAAAAAAGGCTTTATGCATGGCGGCAACAAAACACAGCGTTCCAAGGAAAACACTTGCTCGCCTCTGTGAAATTTGGTGGAGGTTCCATCATGCTTTGGGGCTGTGTGGCCAATGCCAGTACTGGGAATATTGTTAAAAGTTGAGGGTCGCATGGATTCCACTCAATATTAACAGATTCTTGAGACTAATGTTCAAGAATCAGTTACGAAGTTGAACATACGCCGGGGATGGATATTTCAGCAAGACAATGATCCAAATCTACTCAGGCATTCATGCAGAGGAACAATTACAATGTTCTGGAATGGCCATCCCAATCCCCAGACCTGAATATTATTGAACATCTGTGGGATGATTTGAAGCGGGCTGTCCATGCTCGGCGACCATCAAACTTAACTGAACTGGAATTGTTTTGCAAAGAAGAATGGTCAAAAATCCAGGATCCAGGATCTCATTAGAAGCTACAGGAAGCGACTAGAGGCTGTTATTTTTGCAAAAGGAGGATCTACTAAATATTGATGTCGCTTTCTGTTGAGGTGCCCATATTTTGCACATGTCAAATTTTGTGTTTATGTGTACTGCACATTTTCTTTTAGTCCAATAAACCTCAGTTCAATATTGAAATGTCACTGTGTCCATAAGTTATTGGTTTTATCAAACTGAAATAGGTATTGCAAACATCCAAATATTTAGAGATAAAAATAATTGAGATTAATAGGGGTGCCCAAACTTTTTCATATGACTGTACCTTATAAGAAGGCCTCTCGTTCAGAGATTGTGCTGTCTGATGCACAGTGTCTCTTGTAGGAAGGACAAAAATAAATGCTTCTATAATTCTAGAAAAAAAAAAATCAATACTGGCTTAAAAAGAAAAAAAAAAAGAGCTAAACCTCTGATCTTTGCGTCTTTAAGCCTCTACATTCAGACACCTCCAGACAGAACTGGTGTGATGCTGAAGCGACGTTTTACTGAACCCGTTGTCTTGGCTTTGAAAAGAAATAAAGGTGCTCCAACATCAGCTGCACTTCAGCAACCCTGAAAGAAAATGTGCTTCTCTCCTTTTTCATCATGAACCTTAGAGTTTAGAAAAAAAAAGAGCCATCAATTCCACGCTATTCATGATGAAAATGCACAGAGAATAAAAGCAAAAATAATGAAAAAACAACAAAAAGGCCTTTAAAGCTGCTCTCAGAAGCACTTTATGTGTTCATCTGCCTTATTCTATCAAGGTGTGAGAGGGAAAGTAAACAGAGTCCAAATCCCACCACCCCCACATCCAGCTGCCACTACCACTCACCTCATCAGCTCCTCCACCTTGTCGTCCACGTCCAGGTCTTCTTCTGCGGTTTCGAAGCCGAACGCCCTGGACGCCGCCGCGCTGTTCACTGGGTAGCGAGGCGGGGACAGCTTCCCGTTGGGCGTGGCGGCCAGGCTGTCCCGTCCGTTCTGCGACAGCGCCACCAGCGCCACGGGCGACGGCAGCACGGCCGAGTGCGGCGGCGGCCCGGGGGGCGGGGACGTGTCGTAGCTGTTGCTGGGAGACGGGGACAGCCCCCCGCCGCTGTTATTGAACTGCGTTTGCGTGGCCGTGGAGATTTTGGAGGTGGTGGACGAGGCGACGGCGGCGGCGACGACGAGGGAGGAGGAGGAGTGGTCGCCGCCTTCAGCGCCATTGCACGTGGCCGAGGAGGAGGTGGAGGTGGTTGTTGCCGAGGCAGTGGCGTTATTGTTGAAGGATGTGGCGGTTGTTTTGGCAGCGGAGCTGTTGGCCCCGCCTACGAGGTAGGTGGACGAGGAGGAAGAGGTGCGGCGGCCGAACTTGTCGCCGTGCTCCCGGTCCAGCCGGTCCAGAGTGTCGAGCGCGTGCAGGATCTCCTGCTTCGTCATGCCGGTGCGACGCAGCCGCTGCAGCAGGTCTATCTGCTCGATGGTGAAGCGCGGCTCCTCGCTGAAGTCGGACATCCTGCTGCTGCTGCTGGGCAGGAAGAGACAAACAGGAAGCACAGGCGGGAAGTTCAGGAAACTCACAGGCTGACAACGTGGGAGCGCACAGAATGTCAGAGGATAAGAAACAGTCGCATCACCGGGAGAAAAAAATTGATGGGAGGAGTTTAAGGAATGATATGTAAAAAGGAAAAGCTCAAGGAGAAAAAAAACCAAAAAACAGCAGAAGTTGATAAGAAGAGAAGAGAGCAAGATAAAGAAGTGTGAAAGAAAAAGAAAAGGGAGGGGCAAGGCAGAGGAAAAAAAAAAAATCAGCTATTTTTGGGAAGCGGCAGGCAACACGCGCAGCCTGCCAGAGTCACCTTGACAGCTGATGCTATCTTAACATTCAGACTGTCGTTCTTTAAGAGCTGCTCCATAATCCCCGCGCTGCGCCGCCACCCACGCTGGATGCTTTTCATAAGCAATTTGCTGGACTCCAAATCAATGCCTCTGGAAACAGACTGCGGCAGATTTTTTTAATGCATTTTTTTAACCGTTTTCCGCTGCGGCCCAGCCTGCGTTGACATGACGACTGCTTTAAAAAAAGAAAAAAGAGGGTCACCAGCTCCTCGCTACAGTTCTGTTACTGTGGAGAGTGGGAAAGCGACGGGAAGACGTCGTTAGTCATCTTGGAGGTGTCACAAACAAAAGAAGGGTCCAGTCAAAGTATTCACACCTGCGTTTTTGTTTTTTTTTGTTGGAATTGGGTGTTACAAACCAGAACCAAGTTCTGCACTTAGAAAGTGGAAGGAAAAGAAATACATTGTTCCTTATTCTTTACTTATTAAATCTGGAAATTATTTAAGTTTGAATTCCACCCCCTGTACTTGGATACCTGTAAATAAAAACAGCTGCCTTAGAAAAGGTTCCCACCAAGACAACCTAAACCAACAAGCCTAGAGAGAAGATTTTTGTTTCTTGCCAACATTCGACCCACAGCAAACTTCTTGACAGCTATTTGAACAGCCCAACTCCAAATCTTTTACGCAACAAAAAAGACCAGATTAATAAAATCTGATTGTTGCCATTTTGTAAAGTGCTTATAGTCTTAACGGTTAGGTTGCTTTTATTCTCACATATTCTTATTTAGCGTCCTGTAGGTGACATGTGTTCTAATTCTGCACCAGAAGAAACCAGACGCAGCAAATCAGGACGCAAACAACCGCTGAAAAGAATAACTGCGACTTTACTGCTTGTCACAACAAGCACTAAAATTAATCACATAATAAATTAAAAATAAGCTCAATCATTTTGAGCTTATTTTTTCTCTTTCTACCAAAACCTGGATGACAAAAGTCTTCACTCTGGTTCTTTGGTCTCGACTCGTCATTTCTGTTTTCTTAAACTTCATCGTTTTGGTTGTTTGATCCGTTTTATTTTGGACATTTAAATGATCAAATTTATTGATTTTTGAGAACGTGCTCTCGCTTTATTACGCAATTAGCATCATATGATTTGAAAATGGTCTCAAAATAGCAATATTATCGTTTATTGCAATAACTTCTGACACATTTTGTCATTCTCTATTGTGACAGCCCCAACTCTGAACTTCTGAAGTCTGTCAGTGAAGCACATCACATCGCAATCCCACCACCAATCAGATTTTCCTACATTAGTTGCAGTCAAAGCTCCATAAAAGGCCATTGCTATTGGTTGTGCTTCCTTCTTTTGTCTCATGATCTTGTGACAATCCCGTCAACTCGCATCGCTGAATAAACCTTGAAACCGATCCCACACGTCAACGTTCTTCTGCGCATGCAAGTCGGTCGGGCTGCAGAGCTCCACGGCTCAGGTGGAAAAACATGTTTACGGGACTACAAGGGGCTTCCTCTCTGAACTTGGAGTTTCAGAATTCCCAGATGGAAATACAACAACAAAAAAAAAAGAATTTGATCAAAAGTAAAAACCTCTTCCAACTGTGAAACTAGCCTGGCAGTTGTTCACTGCGTATATAATAAGCAGTATCAGGGATAAATTATGAATGGAGGACTCCTTACAGTTTATAGCTAATTTCCCATATAGTTCTCTGTTGAATATTATATGGAAAATCATCTATTAGTGAAAGTTTCTTTAATGCTTGAACGAAGAATACGGACAGAAATGGATTTTTCTGGTGGGTTTTTATTGGTTAGCAAGAGCTTCCAAACAAACACAGAACACAATGGGATGGTTTAGATAACGGCATGAAACATCCTTTTTTTTAGCTTAGAAATCAAGCGCTTTGTTGTTTGAGGGATTCTGTTCTACTACATAAATTCACAAAGGTGTCCCACAAACAAACCTGAGGATTTTGAATAAATGTGTGCTCTGATTAAGCATTAACCAAGTTAAGCATTCACTGGGTTTACTAGTCAAAAAGATGTCCTGTAGAAAACAACAACAACAAACAAAAAAAATATCAGATCAGATTGGAACTCTGTCAGGAATCCAGTGTTCAATCTCTCTCTCCCTCTCTCTTTTTTTTTAAATAAATAAATTGTCCACTTCTGTTCCTCTGTAAATAACATCTCCCTCAGAGTATTTGGTTTGATCATGAGTCAGGTCACTGAAACACTGATCAACACATCAATCAGTCAATCCATAAAACCACGCAGCAATTTGAGTCTTCGTTAACTGATCAATAATGAAATTATAGGAGTGATTGGTGCATTTGTATGATTAGCCATCTTCTGAATTCAATAATAATGCCGAGCAATCTCAATAAATAAATTGGTACAAACCGAGTACATGGGTACAAAATGGCTCTTTTGGCAAGTCCTAAATCTAAAAGACAAAACACATTGGAGAGGTGAAAAAGTTATTTTTTTATTTTCATTTGTTTTTCTGTCAATGATGAGTGGGCATCTCCACTGCATAAAAATATGTCTGAAGATAATATTTCTAATAATATATACATTATATTGAAATTATAATTATATCTTTCTAATATCTTTCTCCACTTTTGAGTATATGTACCTACATTGAACAGCAACATAAAGAACAAGTAAAGACGTTCCAATTATGGAACCCAAAAACAGTGGGCACCATTTGGACTCCTTACCCCTCTTCCTAAACGTCCTACACACGCCCCTGTTCATGATGGATAATAACGCAAACTTCAGCGAAAATAAATCAGAGGTTCGGGCTTCTGACACAGAACATAAAAGCTATGTCAATTATACGCTCCTCGTCTTCCTCCGGTTCTGTCCGAACCGACCTCCTCGGTCCGTGGTGCCTGTTCCGTCCATGTGTTTTTGTTTTGCTGGCCGTGTGGCCCGCAGTGACAGCGCCAATGTGTCCCTCTGAACCGCGGAGCTGCAGGCACGCCGCCCTCGGCGCCGATGCCAGTTTTCACGCCCTTTGCCCAAAAAAATAATAATAATAAAAAAAAAAGCTAGCGACGAGTGAATGTTTCCGAACCAAAATGAGCTGCGAGCAGCACAAACATCATCTCGGACACATTGCGACACGTTTTGCACGTCCGACTTTACTTCATTAATGCGGGTCCCGTTTCTGAATTGGTCCTAACAACAGTCCACTGGCACCACAGAAGGCGCCAGCCAACTCAACCCGGGTTATTTCGGTCGCAGCGAGCCTTTGAAGTGATTAGCATAATGTGCTAGCCCTGCCAAAGCCGCTCCCAGCTGCCTTTAGTTAGCCGCCGTCGCTGGCTAGCGAGCGTTTCATATTAATAACATCACTTTCAGTGTTGAGTACAGTAAAGTATATGACTTACCTCGGTTCAAATAGTCCGCTTCACCATTTAACTTTAAAAGTAAAGCACAAGCCAAGCGGCGTCTTTTACTGCTGCCGAATTATAACGCAGTTTGGTGGCAGTGCCCCGCACGACCCTTTTCCAAGGATTTCTAATCAGAGGCGAATTATTTGCCTCTCCGCTTTGTCTGTCTGACAACAGCCATATTGACAACTAACACCTCCGAGGAGCGCAGAGGGAACTGTAGTTTCACTCCCACAAAGGCCGTTATAACACGCGGCGGCGTTCTCCAGGCGAAAGACTACAAATCCCGGGAAGGAGAGCGAGGCGGAGCTGACGGCTCGCGGATCCACAGCTGTCACATCAGAAACAGAGGCGGTGCGGCTTTGACCGCGACCCACAGCAGGCGCCACGCAGCGCGAGGCAGCCAGGAGGAAGGCAGCATACTCCACAGAAAATGTTCTGTTGCTTAACAATGGAGGAATGTCTTCTTGTCAGTACATTACAAAAAAGGTCAATTACGCTTAATATTTTAGTTGAGGTGGTGTGAAATTGAAGTTTGCTGTCAAAAGAGAAGGTGACACAAACTAATTGGAGACCAGGAGCTAAAATAAATAACTATAAAACATGTTTTTATATTTGATCCAGTAGAATGTTTCATCATTTGATTATGTTCTGGTCTCTCCCTCTGCTATTTTATATAAAAAAATGTGGAAAAGGATTACCGTGATTGGGGGTGGAAAAAATGTATTCAGATTTTTTTTCTCAGAACTCTGATTAATATTTTTCTAATTCCAGCTTTAATTTTGAAATTGAAAAAAAAATGTGTGGCCATATCCTCTTCTATAGTATTATGAGACCCTGTTTTCATAGCATTCTGGAGAAGACAAATAATGATGATGACTGCAAAACTAACTTGTAGAATATTTCAGAATGCTAATTTGTTGTTTCCCTTGATGTTTGCATTGTAAATAAACAGGAAAGGGAGTAGAAGGTTTCAGAGAAAGCAGAAAACCAAAAGAAAGCTCTGAGGCGGAGCTGGATCTTGAAGGCGGGGCTAGGTCCACCAAGGCATTTTACATAGCTGAATGGTTGCGATGAAGGCTAGAGGATTTCTCAAACACGCATGAAAGAATCAAAGCAACTCTCCAGATGTGTTTGCTACGAGGAAATAATAGTCTAATATTATGTCAAGTTAAAAAAATATCTTTTTTTGTTATGGATGTGCAAAGGCCAGGTTGTCGACCCAGCTGTTCAGCAGATAAAGGGATGAAATTAAATAAGGTTTAATTGTACATAAACCAGGCAGCTAACTAAGCATGCAAATAAACCAGACACTTCAACTGGAAAAACAGAGGTCACTCGTGTTAACCATTAATATTGTTCAGCCTGCACCTGTTTTGCATTTTCAGAGCTGGAGCAGTTGTATTTTATGGTTCTGTTTTCTGCCCTGCAGGCATGCAAGCTTCAGCTCCATTTGGTTTTCTCAGTCAGCTCTAGGTCACCCACTTTCTACCAAAGATCATCAAAAACATTTGATTTGAAAACAGGCATCAGCTTCACCGCAAGAGCACACGCGTGGAAATCTAGAGAAATATAACGTTCCCGCTTGACGTAAACATATAGCTAGTTATCACTTGCACCTAAAGAAAGTGGCCAGTTATTAGGTTTATAAGGTCAAATACTTTCTCCACAGAGAGCCAGGGTGGTTTGAATGGCTTCTCCCCCTTCAAAATAAAATATTTTTTCAAAGCAGTTATTTATTTATTTATTTTAATTTACTCGTGTTTTGTAAATGTGAGCTGTGACAAAAAAAAAAAACAAAAAAAAAAAAAAAAAAACAAAGAATAAATCTTCAAGGGAACGGAATTTTGTCAATCTTAGTAATTCCCAATAAAAAATCCGAGCGGTTCAACTGCAGCCTTGTGGTTATACCGCCCCCATGTGTCCACGAGCGGAAAGAAACCGCTCTGCCACCAGGCTGGTAAATGACGAACGTGACCACTCAAACCAGGAACAGACATTTATTTCCAAATACGAATTGAAAAATAAAGCATCTGAGACATATTTACCTCTGAAGTTAAGGTATGCTCTCTAAAATCTTTTTATTTATTCATTTAATTTTGGGGGGGTTTCAGTGAAAGATTGGCTCGAGATCTATTTCAGGACTCCACGTCTTGCGCGTGCTCTACCAACTAACAGTTTGCGCTTTTTAAATGAACGCTAGGTATGTCGCCCATACATGAAGTACTGCTTCAAAATGATACTGCTTCCTATGGGCCCTTCCCGGTTCCCTCCATCCCTCCCTGGGCCGCTCTGGCGCAGCCCAGACCTCAGTGCGCAGCTGCCCACCCAACACGGTTTGATAATTGAACTTAAACATCCGGCAATAACTCCCTCTGGACGACCAGGAATACTTCCCCCGTCCCAGTTCTGGCACCGTCCGGAAAGCGTTCGGCTTTCGGAGCCCGAGGCAAACCCTTGTGAGTATGCAAGTTCGGCGGCGAAAGGAGCCGCTGTGGTTCAGCCAGCAGCCAGCTGTTTTGGTCAGCGGTTAGCTGGCTAGCAGCGTCGCTCAGCTAACATAAGCGTAGCTAGCGAGGTGGTGCTGAAATCTAGCTCCGTGTCGTTGTCTTGTTTTGAAGCTGAAACGGCTCTAATATTCAGAGCCGGGGCGTTGGGAGTGTGTTTCTGAAAGTTGAATGCTTCAGAGGAAACGAGCCAGGCGAGCTCCGACCGGGGCAGCTGAGATTTGACATAAGGCCGAAGCTACTATGATAACATCGGAACCGGCTCAAAATGGATAAGAAACATTTGACCCATTTGAGCTGCCGCCCCCCCCCAATCCTCCCTCCCAAAAAAAAAACCAACAAAAAAAAACTGCCAACTTCCTGAACCTAAAACCTGTAATTTTACTTTTTTTTTTTTTTTTATTTTATCAAGTGCTGAGTTAACTTTTAATTTTTAGAATGGTGCTGATTCACAAGGAGTATTAAATGTTCACTTTAAGGCTAAACACACAACCAGCCTCAAACTCATTGTGTGTTTGAACTCTATATGTTCATATATATTCATGCGTCAAAGCATTGGCGCCCTTCATTTTGTAATAACTCAGAGAAGGTGCTGCGGGTTCCTGCATTTATAGATCTAAACTGTTGGGATGCTCAATGTTTATGTTTATTCTTCAATAAATAGAGGAAACGCATTCCTGTTTTTCCAGTGTCTGACCTGCTTTTTTGTTTCTGCATTTGCTTTTCTCTCATCAGGATTCCTCAGAAGCTGCCAGGTGAACTCATCCTATTGTTACAGGACCAAAAAAACAACAACCCCCCCCCAAAAAAACCCACAGATCCTTCCAAGAATCCACAGTAAGTAAACAAAAACACTCCCCGATTGTTGATTTCACACTTATACTCACAGTGTGAACAATGCTATGAATGAGAAGGAGAAGAGACTCTCCCAACAGTAGCCTGGAGGTACGCTTTTATTCTTGTGCGTTTCAGAAGAGACGCCACCAGAGGCCGCTCTCACGCCTGGTATTCCCTCTGCTCAACCCGGTATTCCTTGTGTTGCTTATAAACCAAACAATGTCCATCAACACGTAAACATCATCTACGGGGCTGGAAACCATTTACTGATGATGTGAGTAAAGAGACTTCTGTTTTAACACTAGAATTATGCGGTTGTGTGTGCGTGCGTGCGTGTGTGTGTGTGCGCGCGCGTGTGCGTGTGTGTGTGTGGTCTTTAAGTTGTGGAAGTGCTCTGCCTCCCAAAACAGTACATCTGCAGTGTGTTTAGCCTGATTTCTGTCCGCGGTGATTGTTCAAAAGCGGTTATGTTTTGAGTGGTCTGTGATTTAGAAAAGGAAGCGTTATCTTGAAGAGAGCCAGGTCTGTCCCGTTCAAAGCTGCATTTCCCTCCCCTCCAAAAAAACGAGGCTTTGAATTCCTCACGCTGGCCTCCCAGTCCCCCTCAAACAACTGGCCGGGACAGCTGTCCGTAACAGCTGCTTGATCTCTGGTTCTGGCTCCTGCCCGCATCTGGCCAACTCTCCTTCTTGACCCCCTGTTCATCTGCTGGGCAAATCTTCCTGCTTCTAAAATTGGTCTCGATGCTATTTTTGATGCCATTTTGGATTGTGCACCTAATCTGGCGCGAGTGTGCTTTTCTTTCCTTTGTTTTATTTTTTGTTTTTTTTGTTTGTTTTTGATGTTTGGGATAAAACCCTTTCCGTTAGCTTTTAGCTCACAACTCTGGTATTTGTCCTCATTGTCACAAAATTCATCCCACATGTCTTCTGAGCTTTAATAGCCTGGTCTGAGCACGTATTTATCTGCCGCTCTGATAATATGCAGCATTTTTTCCAGATGCTTCATCCTGGCTTGTAGTTTGAAGGAAGATGATGCCTTCTCGTTTGTGACGGAAATGGAAAGTTGGGGAAGAGGTTGGAAAAAGTTAGTAAATTGTGCGCTGCTCTCTAAAGGGTAATTCATCAAATCAAATTTCGTAATTTTCTGTGAACAGCAAAACAGTGCTTCATTTCTGAGATTTTTTTTACTGATTAGTGTGAACAATCCTGCAAATTAGACATTCTAAATATAACGTCAAAATAAGCAGTAAAGCATGACGTCATGACTGTGCTGTATAATTATAGCACGTTTTAAGCAGAGGCAATTCAGAGTGCTTTACATAAATTACAAGGAAATACAAACATAAACCAAAGGAACAAAAACAGAAAAAGAACCCAAAAAGTAGGCATAAAACTAAATGTTGGTTCTCCATGTTTTGGTTCTATGAAGTAGATGGTGCTCAACGTTGAGTAGATCTGCCCTTATGGACTGGAGACACGATCTATCATTTTTTTTCCAACATTGGAACCGACACAGATATTATCGGATCGGTGCATCTCTATGTTAGAAGCTGAAAGCTGTTCGTTGATAAAACGGCCAATGTATTGAAGCAACTTTGTAAATACAACCTTAAACTTTACCTGGAAATAATGAATAATTGTCTTTTGGGGTCTTTTTTTGCATCATGTGCATCATTTTCTGGTCATGTCATGCTGTTTGACTAACATGATTGAAGGAAGTTTCATTGTCATGCGCACACCAACAATCTGACAGGGGTTAACCCCGTCGTTTTTTTCTTTCTTTACTGTACTCTTCCACACTCCGGAGTCGCGGTGCACGGACTGAGCTGTCGAAAAGCGGCC